GAACGCAGTGACTGTTGTTCCTACTGCTCTGTAGCTGATTCTGTTATGAAGAGTACCGCAATATGGACACGCACACACTGTAAGACATGGATGTAACCGAAGGTTGTAATCGCTGAGTACGCACGCACACACTCACAGTCTCACACACACGCAGTCAGGTTCCCTGATCACACACACAAGCAAACACATTCACGTTCCCTGATCGCTGCAGTCTCGTGCAGACTTCTACAGTGGGCGCACGCGCACTTCCCCCCCCCCACACACACACGCACGCACGCACACACATTACAACACACACACACACAGAGAACACGGTATGATGTAGCCAAGGGTCGTCGACTCTAGGCAAGCTCACGTTGCCTGATCACTGGAGCTTCGCGCAAGGCTGAGTGAGGCAGGGAATGGTCGACAGCCGAGTTGCACCAAAACAGTCAGTATGTGGTCCCGAGAAGGATGAAGTTTGCGTGAAGGTAAGACCGTTATTCCTGCTGCTGCTGCTGCTGCTGCTACTGCTGCTATCCATCCGGGCCTGTGTCTGCGCAGAAAATGCAGTACCTATTTAAGATCTTGTACATCAAACTCCCAGGCTGCGGTATCTTATCGGCCGTTATCTTGTTCCAATAGTGGAAGAGATAGGTGTCCGCCATGTCGAGCCACGTGTCGTGTTGCTTTTCCATATTCTCCTTCTCGAAGTACGTAACCACCTCTCCCCAGTGCACTGGGTAAAAGGCGGTGGTAGGCAGAATATGCAGCTCTTCCCCCTGAGGGAATCTAGAGGCGACACGTGTCACCAGCTCGGGTCCATTCCATCCCCAAGAATCAATCCTGTACGTTGAGTTGAACTCCACCATGCATTCATATATGAACCGACTACCTTTGTCGAAAGCTAGGATGGCACCATTGAGAACCTTGGGCTCTCCCCTCTCATTGGCTAGTTCCGTGCCTATGGCGTTATGCAAATCGTCCAGCTCCCTTAGGACTATAACGTCCGTGTCTAAGTACACACCCCCGTACTTGTATAGACTTGCTAACCGGATGATCTCCGTGATATGGCTGAAGAAGTACTCGCCCGAACTCCATCGGTCGATGCCTCGATACCAGATCTCAGCTGGGGTGCCCCTTAGCAGGTACGGCAAGTTAGGCCTCTCTACAAGAACGTTGTAACCCATGTCCCAAAATTGCCTGAAGTTGGCTTGAGAGAGTGTCGCAGAGTAGACTATCACACAAGATTGGGGATGCAGCCTAAGCACACTTTCGATCGTTCGTCTATACCTCAACGTAAACCCAGCTGCAGACGTAGTCCATGCCAGAAAGAAGTTGAGAGGACAGCCCGTCGCAGAAACGAACCCCCCTACTCTCGATGATGGCCCAGATGGTACAGACTTTGTCCGCCTACTCTTTCTCCTCTGTTCCGTCTCTTGCTTGGTGGTCCTATCCGACCCCGACAATCCCCTTGGACTGCCAGGACCACCACTTGTCATCGTGTGCGGACCTTGGTTCTCCTCCGGCTTCGATCCCTTGACGTCCTGATAACCATCATGATGCTCATCACGATGACCATGAGGGCGAGGACGATGACCCTCCACGTTGCCACCCTGATGACCATGATCATCATCCTGATGATGATGAGGATGATGACCCTTCAAGTTGGCACCCTCATCGGAGGAGGAGGAGGAGGAGGAGGAAGGTAAGTGTTCTTTGCCCCTGTCCCAAGAGCTGTGCGGAACTGTAACCCCAGCGGGAGGTGGGTTTGCATGTTCCCGGGTCCATAGAGTAAACAAGTACAGGAGGACGAAGGACAGCAAGCCCAAGAGAGCCCCAGCAGCTGTGGCCTGGGGCAGAGACAACTGGCACTGCCCGCTCTGCCCGTCTGGTCGCGAAGGGTAGGATAAGAATGCTCTTTTATGCAGTTCAGCTTCTTCAGGATCGTCTTCCATGGTAAGCAGCAGAGTAACCAACAGGATGTACCAGAGGATCTCTCCCTGCCTGTGGCTGTGGGTCGATCCCATGGCAATTGCATTCACACAGAACTTGACAGAAGATGGTCACTCATGGACGAGCACAAGGTTTGAATGAAGAGAATGACGCTGCCTGATCTTCTTGAGATTTTGGACGGGCGAGTTCTTCGTGAGCTGCCAGTGCGCGCTATCGATCCATGCTCACAGCAGCACTTTTGTCAACGTATCTGACCGCAATTGCGGCCAGACCTGGATGCATTTAGCCGCGTGGTTGAATGAAGAGAATGACTTTGGCTGATCTTCTTGAGATTTTGGACGGGCGAGTTCTTCATGAGCTGCCACCACCCGCTTTCTCCGCACTGTGAGCGTGTGCGCGCTATCGATCCATGCTCACACGAGCACTTTTCTCAGCGTATCTGACCGCAATTGCGGCCAGACCTGGATGCATCTACGGTGGCCGCAATCACGTCCAGAGCTGAGTCGAAAAAGTCCTGACATGAGTATGGCCTGATTAAGACTCGAATGCGAGGGGAAGAAAGGAGAACCAATAAAAGACTTGAATGCGAGGCAAAAAGAGTGAGAACACACTCACACTGCGACCTCTGTGGATGCATCTGACCACAATTACGGTACGCCTGGATGTATCTGACCACAATTGCGTCCTCAGATTGGTCGAAAAAGTCCTCGCGTGAACACGCCCTGGTTCTACCGAGCCGACTACTACGACTTCAATGCCAGCGAGAAAAAGATGAAACAACAGAAGGAACGGCACTTGAAAAAGAGAACGGCCTCATGTACCTTCCTCGGCATGCTTCTCTCCCGCCACGTAGAGATATAGACCACTGGATCCCCCGATCCGCATTGAGCAGAGTCTACTGATGTTCGTAGGGGGTGGGGACCACCACCTGAGAGGAGGCACAGGGATTGGTCCCGTTGGCATGGTGATCCCTGACGCTACCGCCTGTACTACCCTGGCTGGTATCGCCCACCTGCAGGTCGGGTGCAGCTCCGGCATGTTCTCTCGTGAACTACTGGGTTCCCCCTAATATTGACTTACCGGTAGGGGCCCCTAGTTTGTTTGTGTTTGTTTGTTTTTTTGCAAAACGAGGGGCCCAGTGCCCAAGGCTCAAATTATGCAATTGAATACAAAGCGAACCCACGCCTCTTCCCATTAGGGCTGGAAGAGCCTTAGCCACTGCTCCCATGGAGACAGCTTCCCTATTCCATCTGGATGTAGCACGGGCAAGGCCCCTAGTTTGTATGTGCCTGGCTAATGAACCAGTCATCACCGGCCAGGTTCAAAAGCTGGACAACTGTTTTACCAAAAAAAAAAAAAAAAAAAAAGTTACCTTTCTCGGCCTTTTGGCTAAGATCAAGGGTAGTATCTGTTCTGATCAGTTTAAGATCTGATCCGTGGTCCATCCGGCCACAAAAAAGAAAAGGAAAAGGAAAAAAGAAACAGAAGGGCTGGGAGAGTGTTGGCCATAGCCACTGCAGGTTGGATGGGGGGGGGGGGAGTAGAAGATGGGAGGCGCAGCTACTGGCAAAATTCTCGGTCTTTGCCTTAGCCGGCCCCGCCATCGGCGGCCCCACAATGATCCCTGACCACCACCGCAATTAGGGCGGGGGGCAACATGTGAGAGGTAGCTATGCTTGCAGGGGTCCCCTGTATAGGCTTAGGAGTAGTGCTATGTAGATAATGAAAGGTGACATTGAGAGAAGAATATAGAGTAGTTAAAAAAATAAACCTGTGAACACCATCCTGCACACTGAGTGCAAAATAACAGGGGAAAAGCTTTAGAGTTCTTTTTAGACCACCAGTTCACATGGGCCTAAGATGCCGAAGGTACCTTCCAAGGCTTGCGAGCCTGCCCGAATCCAAATGCTCTTACCATGCATACTGGTAAGAGCTCTACTTAGGTTCTTAAACCACCAGTACTTGGCCCAGCTATGGGCCGCGGGCGTGTCCCGTTAACGCGCCGCATTTGAGGGGGCTCGTTCACATGAACGGCAGGTCGCTGAGAATTGCGACGTAGAAAAGAAAGAACCAAAGAAAAAAAAAGGAACTACTTCCTAAGTTGGGCCGGGGTCGTGGAATGCTTCTAACTAGTATTTCAGGTAGATTCTGGATGTCTATTTTTTCTGCTTTTGTTTTTTTTTCATTTTTCTTAGATTCCCGTGCCAGAGAGGCAGGGCATATCCTGTGATCTACTGAACAGCCCTGGTTGAGGGCATACTCACACTTGCACACAGACAAATGTATCTAACTAATTTCAGGGCCAAATTCATGTTTCGTTTTTTTTTCCTTTTTTGAGATTCATTTCTTTGTTTTTTTTTTCCCTTATTTTACTTTTGGATTCTGACAGAAACGCCACGGGGCTGATACACCCAAAATGCGACGTGCTCGGGTTGCTTCTGGTGGTCTTCGGAACGTCTGACAGTGGGGCGCCGGCGGAGCGCTACCGGGAGCGCTCCGCCGCCCGACAGTTGGACGCGATGGCAGGCTCCTTGGCGACATTTGGAAACGAAGAGCGGTGCAGTGGGCGCTATGACGGCATGACGCGAGGATGAGAGTACGGGTGAGAGGACAGCAGGATGATGAGGCGGGAGAGGGATTGTGGGGCATGGAGGAGCAGGCTAGTTACCGAATATCTCATATCATGATCTCGTTGGAGAGGAGGAATGTCGTGGGGGGAGAAAGGAGGGTTTCATGGGTTAGAGGGAGAGTATTTCAAGAAGGAAGGGAGGACGAATGTGGGGGTAAGGATGTTGAAGACATGTCTTCTATAGACGGGCGACGTCTGCGACGATGACACCCTTCATCTTTTTGGGCTACCTGCGAGGGGCGGCTGGCGGGCTCAGCAGTTTAGTCTCGTGACGCGGTTTGGTTTGCTGTGATGGTAATCCTAGCTGCGGTCCTGTTATCTTCATTGTTTGGTCCTTGGGATGGTTGAATAGTCGTCAACCACAGACGACCGAGTTGCTTGACAGTCGATGAAGGAGGAGGTGAGGTTTGGAGAGAGCGGGGATGCGTTTAGGGATGTCAAGGGTAAGTTGTAATCTTCCTCTCCCCGTTTTGTAGTGGTGATCCTGCTATGACTCTGATGAGATTCTTAACGATGTGACTCCTAGATGGTTTGGTCTGGTTTAATACCTATTAGTTTTTCTACCCTTGAATGTTTAGGTATGCAACGAAAATATAACTCGTAATTCTGATTCTGAGGTTTGATAATCAAGATTGAGGCATGTCCTAATTTTGTTGATCTTAATTGGTAGTTCGTAATTTTCTTGTTGATTTCGCGATCTGTTTGTAGAATCGTTATGGTTCCTCTCATACACAATTGATTACACAATCGATTGTCGCTTTGTTTTTCTGCGTAGTATTTCCTGATTTACTGTCTGAGCGATTTCTCTTGTACACAATTGATTGCCGATTTGTTTTTTCTCTTAATATTTCCTGATTTACAGTCTGAGCAATTTCTTGAACCTTGGGTCTTGGAAATCAAAGTCGTAAGTCCGTCTGGACATCAAAATTGATTCCCTATTTTGTTTTCCTATTTTGGATTTTCAAATTTTATCAAAGGCTTCAAAGCATATTTTCAATCTTAATTGATTTTCTGAATTTAATGCGAAATTCATGATTCAAACTTCTTTTGATTCTTGATTTACTGTCTGAGCGATGAATTTTTTGAATTCGATACTAAATTCATGATTCAAATTTCGTTGGCATGACTCTAAAATTTTTTTGCGATGTAAGTTTTTTCATCAGTTTTTACTCAAGCAATAGTCGTAGCAAGGGGGTGGCAATTTGTGATGTTGTGAGAGCGGGGTCAAAGGTGTTGGAGTGGATATCTCCCTTAGGGTTGGAGTTCCTCCATGCGAGGGTCACACAAGGTGGGTGGTGTGATCTTTGAGAGGGTAGGGACGATATTGAGGGTTTGTCTTTTTTGGGGCCACACTGGTTTTCGGGATCAGCTATGGCGGTTCGGGGAGAGAGGACAAGGGGTGCTAACGTCAGCAGGGTGAGAGTTGAGAGGGATGTTCCGCTTGGAGGGGGTGGGCAAGAAGGTAGGGGGATCTTTTGCTATGTGGGGCATACTCTAGGGGGTAGTGTATGCAACTGAGGGAGCAGGAGGGGTATTCTGGGGCTGTTTTGAACTGGGGCGGGGAGGTGAGGGGGCGCCTTCCTGCGGAGGCAGTAAACAAACAGGGGGTTGTCTTTTGGGGGAAGGGAGTAATCCCTTTCAAATTGGCTCCTGTGACCCCTTTTTTAAGTATTTGAGACCTCAATAGGCGCTGAAGTCTCCATGGGGAGAGAGGGTTGTGTTTTTCCCTCTCTTCCCCTCTCCCTGTGGGGATACTGGGTGCTGGTATGGAGTTTTCTAATGGGTTTCAAAAAAAAAAAAATGGACGCTCATTTTTGGTAATTGTCTAAGGGGTTTCTCGGCCAAAGAAGATTGGGGATAGATCGTCGGGGGGGGAAGGAGAAGGTTAGAACTGGAAGATGGGGGATAGTAAGGGGGGTTCAACAGGGGAAGGGACGTTTGCCTAAGTTAGTAGGTCAGAAGGACAATGTTGGGATGACGCAGGCTGTTGTTGGAGCTTTTGCTCTGTAACCTGGAGGAGCAAGAGGTCTGGGGAGTTATGTCGAGGGAGGAAGGCATAACCAGGTTGTTCGACGTAGCTGATGCCGGTTTTTTTTTTCTGTAACTTAGGGGCGTGTAGCTAATCGGGAGTGTCGAGGGAGGAAGGCACTCTTTGCCGTTTGAATGAGGCTGGCGAGTTCTGGGGAAGTTTGTGTTGCTCTGTATTCCTAGCATAGGGGGGTATGAGATCAACCGAGTTCTGGTACGAGGACTGAACACTTGGACCTAACGTCTTTTCAAGGGAAGGTGTAAATAGTGGGAGGTTTCTGGTAGGATCTTTTGTTTCCAGGATTGGTCTGTGGTTGGGTAGACCATAGGCAGTTTTTTCTGAGAATTTTCGAAAAAGGAGGTGTGTGGGAGAAGTAGATGGTGGGATATCAAGCGTCCTACTGGTGAGGGGGCTAGCTCGTAGGATGGAAATAAGGCACAGCAGCAGCGAAGATGGTGACTCTGTTGCAGTAAGTTGCCGGAGTGAGGTAAAAGAGGATGGATGGGGGGTTCTGAGTCATTTTCTGACTTTCGCCTATTTATGAAGCTTGTCGTAGAAATTTTGTAAGTAGCTCCAATTGTTTTGAGCCAAAAGCCGGGTAATGGCCCTTGTATCTCAAAATTTCAAAATTCCCTGTAAATTTTCATACGGGACGCTGGGCCCTGTTCCCAGCACGTGTTGCTCCCCACGAATATAGATTGGAGCCTGGTTCCCATTAAAAAAAAAAAAAAAAAAAAAAAAAAAAAAAAAAAAAAA